AAAGGAAATAGAGAAAGAAAGAACGATGCTAGGAAATGACTGTGGACCACGTGAGCAGCAAGGCGAGATCCCGTTTAGTGTTTCCGTCTATATCCGGGTGATCGAGTGACAAATTTATATAATAATAGAATAATTTACTATATGTTTGATTGTTAAATTTACTATAAATAGCATTGATTGTTTTCAAGTAAATTAATTTATTTAAAATTATTTCACATGTAATATCATTCATAATACACTCGCAAAATATGTCATTATCGCTATTACGCTCATATAAAAAGTTTATTACTGCTGAATAAAAACATTCAAATTGACCAAATAATCATTCGATCAAGTTTTTACCAAATGCCCAAAATTTATGTAATGTTCAGATGCCTAATTTTAGATAAAATAAGTTATAAAACAAGTAACATAAAATCCTCTTTTTTTTTAGAATGTATACTTATTTATATAATCGCTTACCGGTAAGCATTTATCAAAAAAGAGTCAAATTTTTCCACCGGATGTGTTTTTTAATTTTCTGAATCATATAAAATAGACCATTTTTAATTCACAATTATTTTCGAATTAAGTTAATTCTGAAACCTCCTACTAATGCTAGTTGAAAGTGAAAAGCGAAACTTGAACCAATGCTAGCTAGAAATAAAACAAATAAATTCCTCCCCAGAAATCAATTATCTCGTAAATTACTGATCAGAATTACTTGATTTTGATACTATTCAATTTGTCTCATTGAGATGAGTTGAATAGTATCAAAATTATGTAATTTTTATCGATAATTCGCAAGATAATTGATTTTTTGGAAAGAATTTGTCAATTTTATCTCTTTTCTTAGCGCCATGCTCGGATACTCGGGCTAATGCACTTAAATATATTAATTAACTCTAATATCGATATGTTTGGATGATTTGGTTAATCTGTTCGGATATCCAAATTAAAAAAACGGATGTTCGAATATATCTTATCAGATAAATGGATAACAAATTCATCCAGTTAAGAACTTTTAGCTAACCAATATAGCTAACCTAACCCCGATGCATTCTGACCATTTCACCTGAAAATTTGGAGATCCTCCTGAAAAAAAATGCATTTCCTATTGACTAGTGATCACCAATATATTTATTATTTATTTTTTTTTGCTATTAATTATATTGTTTCAAAAGTTCTAAAACACGGTCCCTTTTTTTTAAGCTTTAAACATAAAGATCATGATTATTTATGTTATGTATAAAGTTACTTAAAAGGAAATTATGTTAAAGTAATACAGTATTAGATTTTATTAAATATTTTGATTACGTAATTTTGATAAAATTTTGTTTATTTTAAAAGAGAATTACTATTTATTTGTACACAAGGGTGTTGTTATTACTCAAAATTTTGCTTACAAAACTACTTTGGGGGTTCTAACAAAAAATAATCTACGCAAAATTTTATTATAAAATACTCTCTAACCCTAATCTCTAACCTTAACCCTAACCCTAATATTAAGTGGTTTTTTTTTATATGAAATTTATATGTTACATGGATTTGCAAATCAATCGTGTCTATACACTAGTGTAGGTTTAGAAATTTTCATTTTAAAAAACCTTTAAAACAATTAAAAATCAAAATACAGTAGTACTGACAAAGTAATAAAAAAAAAATAACCTAATTAATAGTATTATATCGCAAAAATATTTGGTGACTGATAAGTATCACGAGAATTGGCCTAATGCTAACTCCTATATAAAGATCTCATGTTTTTGTGAATTTAAGGACAGAGCCCTAAGATTGGGCCGGACTGATCTCAATTTAGCGTCCGTATCGATATATTGAGAGAACACTAAGTATTAATTGATTAAAGGTCTTTGAACATACTAAAATTAGGATCATTTAAAGCAGGGTAGAAGTTGATTTCGATGTATATGTCATATATTTATAAACAACGGCAACATTACTTTTGTTTTGCAATATGGTCTTATAGCATTCTGGTTTATGACAATGTGGGCAGTGCAGGTTGCGGCTTTTGCGACAAGAAAAAAAAATTTGGTAGTAAATTAATTGACTTTCTGACAGTTAATTTATCATGCTTTTTGTGCATAATGCCATGCGCTTTTTAATTAATAACACATCGATGCTATCACGTTTTATCCACATTCTCTGCCTACCCATTCCAGAAAATTATTTATGTCTGTATCCGCTTTTTCTAGATCCAATTCCAAGAATTTTCTTGCCACTTGTTCGCAGGTAGCATACAAACGACGTTCACGATCGTTGACGAAAGGCGGTGGGATAGATTCGTATCGAGAAAAAAGGTGAGATAAATGTGTTGCTTCATTCAAGGATTGGTTGATAATTGAAACAATAAATTAATATTACAAATGGATATAAAAAAATGCAAAAATAAATATTAAATAAAGATTCACCTCTTTTAACAATATTAGGGGGAACACCGGCTAGTGTAGCACAAAATGTGCCCCAAGATGAAGTACTCCGACCGGGTATAAGACTGAAACCAAGATTTATGTTATTAGAATAAAATACTGAAATTTGATTCTTAATTTCAAAAGGATCATTCACCGGTATAAAAAAGTCAACTCTTCGTCCTTGTCATCGTCCATGATTTCCATAGTAGTTAGTGAAATCGGGAGAGATTGAGGAAGGAGATTATTCTCAAAAATTTCTTGATAGTTAGAATAGTAAATAATATTATTGACTGTGAATATAACTACCACAAGAACACTCTGAAAATGTGCAAATTACTTGTAATGCAAAAAATTCAAATATCATTTTCAAAGAGCCCTTGGGTAGTTGTAAATACAGAAATGTATTTGAAATGATAAAAACCATGAAAATGTGTTGCTGCAATTACTTTCGGGCAATCTTTACCGCGCTTTAATAAATGCTCCATGACACCACAAAATAAACCAGCACCATCTATTTAATTTTGAACCATTAATTAAAACCTAATTTAATTATAGACAGTTATGTGGTGTTAAGTTGACCCACCTGTAGAGCCAGTTCCTTTCCCGAATTCGTCGAAGATCAATAAAGACCTTGATGTCGAATTACGAATTGCAATCGATATTTGTTGAAGATCAATCATGAATGCACTTTGAATCTTTTATATATTTTTATATTTTTTATTATTATTAATTATTGGAATGCTAGTTAAAATGATGATTATTATTATTATTATTATTATTTTACCTTTGAAACTGTCTCTTTAGTTTGAATACGAGTAAAAATTTTATCAGTTAGACCGATAGTGGCCGACTCTGCTGGCACAAAGCTTGAAAATAATGAAACAATTTACATTTTTGCAGGTTATTTTTTAATATGCAGTATCATTAATGAAGGAACAATGTTTACCTTCCAATATGCGCCATATAAACGATCAATGCGACTTGCTTCAAATATACACTTTTTCCTGAATAATTAGCACCACTTAATAGCATGACACTATTATATGTGTCTTTTTCATCAGTAAGACTGTCTTCGTTCATCTCATCGTCGTCCAATATACCTCTACCTCCAACAAGTCTCGTATCATTAGCAACAAAGACATTAATGCAAAGTTCTTGCAATGGGTGTCTTACATTTTAGGAAATCAGAAAAATCCATCAATTTTAAAATTTTAGAAATGTCTCCAATTTTAGATTTAAAGTTACGTATAATATTTAAACATATCCATTTTTTACCTTCCTTTTTCAATTATTAAAATATTTTCATCTGTTACAATAGGTCGATTATATCCATAACGTCTTGCAGATTCCGCAAAAGACAATATACTTTATTTTAAATAATATAGTATCAAAATTCATATTCTTAAAATTTGTTGAGCATATATAATTAATATTTGTTACCAATCAAGTTCAGCACAAACAGCACTAGAGTTTAAAAATAATGGAACATATTCTAATATACGGTCTTGAAGTTTCTGCATTATTTCAATTTCACGATCTGTGAAATAAAGAACATTCACATATGTAAGCAAGAATTTTTTTTTATTGAAAATTCAAGAAACAATTCATACATTCATACCAACAATAAGACCATGTATATCACCCAAATATTCGTCAAGTTCTATTATGTTATAAATACAAAAGTTTCGTACTTTCACTCACAGCACGATAACACAATCCAATTTAGTAACATTATTATAGTACCTCTCATCCTGTCATTTTTATAGTAAACAGTAGTAGCAGTACTGAACTAATCACGTATTTAAAAGAACAACCGAAGGGATTTTGTATCAATAATAAATCGGCATATAAGTACATAAAAATGTTTAGATAAAAAAAAAACGAACATACTTGATAGTACAATCCATCGATTTTAAAATCCTCTTCATCCCTCCATTCTGGTTTCAACGGGACAGTGACAAGGTATCCCAATTGGGGGAAATAAATTACGTTCAGAGTGGATGCAAACTCGGTGGGAATCGATGAGCTAATTTCACGTGCAACTTCAAACTAAAATACAAAAAATATATTTAGTCGTATAGGTGAAAATTAATTTTAAGGATTGGACTCAGTTAGAAATTTTTATTATATGAATTATCTGAAATGTATAAAGGTTTATCCGGGTAATTTAATAATTCTTGGGATGAGATTTTCCCAACTGATCCAATTCCTACTTAATCTACAGCTGTATTTACCAAAAAGTCATCCAAACCGTCGTATGTTCTTTTCATGTGATCAAGTTCCTTTAGGTATGCAATTGGCAATTAATAAACGTTTTCATTATTAGATATAAAATAAGAGGCCGTTAAGTTTTAAATAAACCTCATCAACATGCGGTTTGACAACAATCCGACCTTCTTTAACGCTTTCGTCAAAATCGATCTTGGATAAAATTGATCAAGGGTTAACAAGACTGCAACATCATAAACATTATAAAATGTTTAAAAAACATATATACGTATAAGACAAATTAACTTTTATTTTATTTTTTTTTCAATTCTCACCACATCATTAATATAAGAACCAATGTCCTTTAAATCGGACACTATAAATGTTTCTTTTATCTATTTACACAAAGCCTATTAATGTCTGTACATTTAAAAACTCGAAATTCATATAAAATTCACAAACCCTAGTAAATATTTTAATATTTTCAGATCGATGCAATTCTTGCACAAGATTACGTATTTTAAGACAGTAAAAAGCATACTACATAATACATATTATGTTATAAATATTGAAAAGAATTACACATATTAATAATTCATCGAACCTGAAGCAAAGATTGCCAATCTTTTATGTTTAATCTTCCGTTCATATTTTCAATGATCTTTGGAATATTTTTTATATGTTTTAGACATGTAGTAAACTGCCCTGAAATATCCAAATTATCGGGCTGAAGGAAGCATTCGATTGTACGATGTCGCTCATCAAGGACAGCAAGATCAAGGGTAGGCCTGAAGAACCACTGTTTAAGCAGATATTTACCAAGGACCGTACGCGTGTTGTTAAGAATACCTATTATTATAAATATAGATTAAAAGAATTAAATATATCTTTACAGTAATATTCCAAGAAACTTAC